TGCAGTTTGCAGAGGGCTACATGGGGAATTTTGCAATGACAACATAGAACAACTCATCTCTGGAGGAGCTAATCCTTGGACAGCCTCCTTTCTTGGCACATGCTTCCCAGAAGGAGCCCCTTCACGGGGCATGGCAGGCTCCGCATCCCAGGTCTGCCTGCCACATCCATTCCCGTGGAGGAAGAAACCCAGCACAGCCAAGTCAGGAGCTCTGACAGGATTCTCGAAGTGGGGAGGTTTCAGTGATACCACGGCAACCCCCACACATTGACACCACTGTTCCCTAGGTGCCAGTGGCCCTGCTAAGAGGCTTCCATGCATGATCTCATTCACTCATGACAACCGGAGAGGCCAGCTCTGTAATTATCCTCATAATTCTACCAGAAAGGAAAATGAGGCTGGACTTGTCCAAGATCCCCAATGTGCTTCCTAATCCTGCCCGGCAGCAAAAAGTACTCCCTCTTCGAACTGAACCTTGGGAGGATGCTGGTCAGTGGGTCAGATGTTAACCTCACATCATGCCTGTTAATCTTATCTCTGCTACCAAGACCCCTGAGCTCGGCATGTGCCGGCAGGTAGGTGGGGTAAAGGGCAGGATTGCACTGGCTACAAACGCCACGGGATAGGGTCTCAGGGAGCACTTTGTAAAATGCAGAACCCCGAGTGCAGAGTGGTGACCCATGTAACCTTTCCTCTCACAGCTCTCTGTTGTGGGGCACACTGATTCCCCCCGGGGGCGGGCATGGTACAAAGGGCCCTTCTCCCCAGACTCAGCTCCTGGTCCATCTGGAGAACCGGGGACGGGGGGTGGGAGGGTAGTCTGTTATTTCCTCTTCCAGAGCGCCTCTTGAGGAATTCATGTCCTGCTCGGGACCTCAGGACATAGCTAAAAATAACCGAAAGCTCCGTCCCTTGGGACGCTGGGCGGAAGAGGTGTGTTCAAGGAGCTGTGGTCAGCTTGGGACGCGTGCTGCCTTCCTCTTTCCAAGGAAGCCAGGGGCCCCTGAGTCACCCCGGAACACCGGCGGCGGGGCCCGTTGGAGGACTGGAGTCAGGTGGAACCCACCCCCCACCTCCAGGCACCCTCATGGCTGCCAGACCAAGGAGGCACAGTTGAGGAGGGAGGAGAATTTTTTAAATAAACCAGAAAGAAAGAAAGGAGACTCTCAAGGTAGTGCCTGTGCTAATTATAACCCAGTCCAGCCAGAAGGTGGGGAGGACGGGTGGAAGGGGCAGGCCTCTGTTAAGCTGCCTGGGAGCAAATTCTCCAGCCTTCACCAGAGTGTCTCCTTGCCTGCTCGTGCGCCCAGAGTTTGGTCTGGACTTGTCTACGGAGGGTGCTGCCGGACAGACAATCTGTCCAGCTTTTTCTGCTGCCCACGCCGCCATGGGAAACACTATGATAGAGACA